CGACGGCCCAAGCCCCCCAAGCGGGCCCAAAAGGGCTCACGGACCGCCCAAGAGGGCCCCAAGACTGCCCAAGCCCCCAAATGACCCCCCAGGAAGCCCCAGAAATGTAAGATACATTGTTTTTGCGCACGGTTCTGTGCTAGATTTTTGCTCGTCGTGCCAAAGTCCCAACACCAGCAGAGCTCCAAGACCCTAAGCAAGCGATCGCGCGCTCTCACGAAGTACACACGCTTTCCGTCCCCGTGCCGAGCGTGTTTAAAGTTTCCGGACGTCGCCGTCGGTTCTCGGCGGCTTTCCAGCCTCGGGACGCGTTCGAAGTTCCAGCCGCTGCTCCTAGAGGCGTCCTGGGGTGCCTTGGAATGAAGGTAATATGCACAGGTTCTGGTATGTGGAACAGTTTCAAAGTACGGAAAAATTAGGTTGCGAAAATAGATTGTTATCACATCTTCAACATATATACATATACCATAGGAGCAGGCCCGCCGCAGGCGCCGAATCTACCACCAGACAACAAATTTCGATCGCAGGCCCGCCGCAGGCGCCGATTTGGATTGAAGCCTGAACCAACATGAGGATGGCGAGCCCGCCGCAGACGCCGATTTTATCGCCAGAACGCGAATTAATTCTTGTCGCAAGCCCACCGCAGGCGCGGATTTTTCATTGAAGCGATCAAAAACATGAGGGCGGCAAACCCGCCGCAGGCGCCGATTTTATCGCCAGAACGCGAATTCTTGTCGCAAGCCCACCGCAGGCGCCAATTTTTCAGTGAAGCCTTAAATTGAATGAAGATCGCGAGCCCGCTGCAGGCGCCGATTTTTTCAAGAACCACGAGGAGATCGCAAGCCCGCCGCCAGCGCCGATTTTTTCTTGCACCGAAAGGGCCCTTCCCCTCCCACGACGCCGCGGAGGCCCCCCCATTGGCGGGCCTGCCGCCCCCCCTTGGTCGGAAGAACGAAGAAATAACGGAACGACTTGCCGACTCCAGAGCAACCAACACGCGCGCGATTTGAAACGAATTCGCGTGGGCGGAACCCCCTCCTCACTCCGATGTTGGCCTCTCGGGGCCTTCTTCGGAGGACTCTTGAGAGCTCTTGCGGCTTCTTTGGGGCCTCTTGCGGGCCCTCCTGGGGGCCCTTGTTGCCTCTCGGGGCCTCTTTGGGTGGGTGGGGGGGGGGGGATTTTCGCACCCGGAGGGATCGCAAAATTGCTTCCCACACGTCATGCGGAAAGGCGCGGGGAACCCCAGAAGATTTCTGAGTTTGGTCTCCAGGTCCTTCAAAGAATTTTGAAGACACAGGACTGAGGCTCAAGAGTGAGGTAGATGACGTCGGAACACGCCCGCTCCGTGCCTCAGGGCGTGGTGGCGCTTTGGGTCTTGGAAGATCTCTGGCTATCTGGAGCCGTATCGCGGGCCGTCTTGAGCCTTGCCGCATGTGGGGACAATTTTTGAGCCATCGTGGGCGCTTTGATGGACCTGCTATAAGGGGGTCCGGGACAAGTGTCGCGCCCATCCCCGACAAAGAATTCGTTTGAGAAAGCAGGGATCGCCGACAGGGCCGACGGGATGCACTGTTGGGCCCCGCTACAAGAGTCACGCCGTCTCGTTTGCGACCCGCGCGGCTGCGCGCTTCGTTTGGCGTTGCGCCCCCGCCCGCCCCCCCGCCCGGGACGGCCCGCCTCTCTACCCAATGGTGTTTGCGGCAGGGGGGTGGGGAGAGGCTCTTTGGGATGGGGCGGCAGCAATCCGCCGCAGGATTCCCGGCGGCTTCGCGCTGTTTCACCTTGCTCCGGCCGGCGGCCCCGGGGAACACATCATTTCGCTTTTATTTGTTTTTACTGTTTCCATTTCATCTTTCTACATTTTCAATCGCTTCGGTTGACTTATTTTTCACATTTATTGTATAATTTTTTATGAAAAAATTGGCGCGCCCAGCGAATTTTTTGTATATATATATATATATATATCCGTTATTTTTGTATAATAAATAACGATAAAATAGCGGAAACATAGCCAAACATAGCAGAAAAAAAGTGCGCGGAATTGTCTGTTTCGGCCGCCGAAAAAATAGCGAGAAAATATATATAAAAAAAGGCGCCGCAAAAGTCCCGGGGATGCACCTTTTTTTCCCGTTATTTTTTTGCTATTTTTTCGTTATGTCTTCGCTATTTCTCTGCCCGCCCCTCCTCCTCCTCCTCCTCCTCCTCCCCCTTCCGCCTCCTCCTCCCGCCTCCCCTTCCTCCTCCCCCTCCTTCCTCCTCCTCCTCCCCCCTCCTCCTCCTCCCTCCTCCCCCTCCCCCCCCCCCCTCCTCCCCCCCCCCCCCCCCCCGCCCCCGCCCAATGGGGAAATGGGAGGGGAAAAAGCTTTTTCGGTGCAAGACAAAAACCGGCGCCTGCGGCGCTTGTGATTTCCTCATGGTTCTTGAAATAATCGGCGTCGATCGTCATTTCAGTCGCGTTTTTAATGACAAATCGGCGCTTGCGGTGGGCTTGCGCCATGAATTCGTTTTCTAGAATTTACTTTCTGAAGAAAAAAATCGGCGCCTGCGGCGGGCTTGCCATCTTCACGCCCGTAACGGCTTCAGTTTTTAATCGGTGCTTGCGGCGGGTTTGCAATCAGAATTCGTTTCTTGATCATAAGATCGGCGCCTGCGGCGAGCTTGCCATCTTCATGCCGGTTTTGGCTTCAATGCAGAACCGGCGCTTGCGGCAGGTTTGCAAACAGTATCCGCTTTCTTCTTATAAAAAATAGCGTCGTTTGCGGGCTTGCGATATCAATGCAGATTTTTGCTTTGATTCAAAATCGGCGCCTGCGGCGGGCCTGCGATAAGACCACAGCGATCCCCGCCAAGCCCAACTCAGCGCCTTCACTCCTTTCCGTATCAGCGGGGGTGGGGGCTGGTGCTCGTGGATGCAGCAAGCCTGCTGCGGCAGGGTTTCTACTCGTGGGGGATGCTCGAAAAATGTCCACCCCCCTCCTCCTCCTCCTCGTCCTGCTCCTCCTCCTCCTCATTCCCCTCCTCTTTTCTTCCCCCTCCTCCTCCTTCTCCTCCTCCTCCTCCTCCTTCTCCTCCTCCCTTTGCCCCTCCTCGTGTTCGTCGCCGTGGTCATCCTCGTCCAACTCCTCATGTTCCTCCTCGCCCTCCTCTATCAACTTCTTCCTCCTTCTTCTCCTCCTCCTCGTCCATATCCTTCCCCTCCTTTTCCTCCTCCTCCTTCTGCTTCCTTTGTTTCAATGTGATTCGCCATGCGATGTCACGCAACCTCTCCGGCTGGAACTCACTTTCTCCTGACAGTTGCGCCGTTGCAGTTTCTTTCCCTTCTCTCTGCTTTGCCGTCGTGTCGCCGCCGCCGCTGCCGTTGCATTCGGGGCCTTGTATATTTTTGTTATTTCTGTAAGAACATATTGCAGCGGCTTAATTTTGACTTATTTCACATCACCTATTTTCCACATTTTCATGCAATTAAACTGTTTCCTGGATTCTGAGGCTGTCCATTAGTAGCTGCCTTACAAGGGGTGCCCGGGTCGTCCCGAATGGCCGCCGGAGGCCCGAGTTTTGACCCGACGGATGCGTCGACACCCAATCGCCCATTCGTCGCCCGCGGGGGCTTGACAGCGCACCCCGCCCAGGAACGCGCGGGGAGAGGGGGTTGGTGCAGAGGAAGACCTATGATCGAGGGGGAAGGAGGTTGGAAGAACCAATTCCGTGAACCACATGCGCCCAGATGGCTGAATGGGGATCCTGTGATGCCTGCCGGCAGGGGGTGTCTGCGCCGGGTCATGCCGAGCATCCGCACCGCGGGTTCTGCTAGATCGGTCCACTCGGTATGCAACCCGCGCGCCCAGGAAGGACGCGCTCTGAGCTGGGACTGGCCGGGGGGAGCGGGCGGGGGGGGGGCAGCTGGGTGCGACGCTGCCGTGTCGGGAGGCGGTCGCTGCGAAGCGCCGCGATGTAGCGTCTGGGACCATCTCGGCTCGCGCCGCGTTGGTGCAGCCAACTCTGTCTCGGGCCATCCTGGCGCAGCTTGTGTGCTCCGACGCCGGCCGAGGGCCAGTGCTGAGTCGACTTCCTCCTTGGTGCCCTCGCTGCGGTATCAGGAATCGGCGGCGAGCGATGGGGGGGGAAGTGAGAAGGAAAAGGCCCTCTCGGAAGGCGGCGGGGCTTCGCAGAAGCCCGCCGGCCTTCTGAGAAGTGTTCTGCGTCTTCGGGGTTCCGAGCCTTCTGAGAAGGCCCACCCCTTCTCGGAAACAAGAACATGTATTATTTTTCTTCCAATCCCAGGACTTTTGGAGGGTCGCAGCCGACGTCGGGGTAGCGCGGTGTATATTTTTTTCAGTCTCCCCGGGTATCGCCAAAAAAGTAGTCACCAGGATCCCGTGCAAACCAGGATCCGCTTTCCTGTGCGAATTTCAGTGCAGGGCCAGACAAATTGTCGGTGTATGGAGTTCGTTTCCATATTTTCTCACTTCTTGCCTGGGCTTGCCGCCGAAGGAGGCCTCGCCGTGCGGCGCCTCTTGGCGCGGTGCCCGCCCCCCTGCCATCGCGGCCTTCGGTATAGAACCGCTGCCGTGCGCGACGGGCCAGGGGGGAAAACCTACGGTAGGTTCGCGTCGTGTCGACTGGCGGCGACCCAAAATCGGTCGATGTTGAACGACTGGGCGTTTCGGAAACGGCTATTCTTTCAAGGTTGAACGATCCACGCGGTGTCAGGAACCAACGCCGGGGTCGACACGACACGAACCCACGGTAGCTCAGCTGTCACCATGTTCATGCGGCGGGCAAGGGCTAAGCAGATCGTGCAACTGGCCACGACCCAGTCCTACATGAAGCCTATCGTCAGAATCCGAGGCAGGTGGCTGGCGGCGAGAGGCTCACCGCCAACGCTGGCGTTTATCAGTCAGCCTCCGAGACGATCCATCACTACGGCCGCAGGCCGCAGAGCGGAATCTCGCATTGCCTTATTGGAGGCGGCAGGCTTTGATCGCAAGGTCGTGCTGAAGATGGCGTCGTCGTTTCCTCAAGTGCTGGGCTTGGATGTGGAGAGTCGCATTGCCCTGCTAGAGGCGGCGGGCTTTGACCGCAAGGCCGTGCTGAAGATGGCGTCGTCACATCCTCAAGTGCTGGGTTGCGATGTCGAGAGCCGCATTGCCCTGCTAGAGGCTGCGGGCTTCGTCCGCAGGGCCGTGCTGAAGATGGCGTCGTCACATCCTCCAGTGCTGGGCTTGAATGTGGAGAGCCGCATTGCCCTGCTGGCGGCGGCGGGCTTCGACCGCAAGGTCGTGCTGAAGATGGCGTCGTCACATCCTCAAGTGCTGGGCTTAGATGTGGAGAGCCGCATTGCCCTGCTGGCGGCGGCCGGCTTCGACCGCAAGGCCGTGTTGAAGATGGCGTCGTCGTTTCCTCCAGTGCTGGGCTTGGATGTGAGTAAGAACATTCGGCCGAAGCTGAGCTTCTTGCAAGCGGCCCATGTCGATGTTACAGACATCACGTCGCACCCGAGGTACTTTTCATATTCGCTTGAAGACAGGATTAAGCCAAGACTATTCGAATTGCAAGGGCTTGGCCTGCTGCCGCAAACAAGTGGCGGCGTCTGTTCGTGGTTGGCGCTCTGCGGCGCAACGTTTTTCAGACGGACTGGACTTGCACGCGGAGTGAGGATGTAGTACAACATGATGCCTTCGCATGGGCTTCGCGACGTGGCTGGAAGTGACTGGGCCTCGGCGCAGGCGTGCTGCGCGTGCTCGGATGCGCTAGGCAGCCCACAGGGATGCAGAGACCAGCGCGCTGCGTGCCTCGCGCCCTGGGCCGCCGCGGTGCCCTCCTCCAGAGGGCGGCGGCGCGAGGGCGCGACGCGCGGCCGCGCGGCGCACACTGGCCGGGGCGCGGTCAGCGCGCGGCAGGGCCTGGGCGACCCAGGGCGCGAGCGGGCATACCGCCACCAGAAAGATAGACAGAGACGCCCTCCACGGGATTGTTCCTCGGCCCCAGGGGAGGGTGGCGGTGTGTCGAGCACCACGGAGAGCCAGCGACCTTCTACACAGGGGGGTACATGCAATATTCGTCGGAGGGTGTCTGTATGTGTGTATGTATGTCCTGTCTGTGTGTCTGTCTGTCTGTATGCATGCATTCATGTATGAAGGTATGTATATGTCTGTCTGTCTGTCTGTCTGTCTGTCTGTCTGTCTGTCTGTCTGTCTGTCTGTCTGTCTGTCTGTCTTTCTGCCTGTATGTATGCATGTGTGTATGTATGTATGTATGCATGTGTGTATATATTTATCGATCGTGCCGTAGCACAGACCGGCCCATGACCAGACCGTAGCGGGCGGCAGCGGCGAGGGGTACTGCGAGCCCCGCCAACTACAACCCCGCCCTTTTTGGCAGCTCCTGCACGGAGGGGCGCCGCCGCGAGCGGAGGAGGGCACTTGAGCCGGGGGCCTCGGCGAAAGCACGCGGTGCAACGGCGCGCCAGCATCCCGCAGCCGCATGCAGCCAGGGGTGGGAATCCTCGGCAAGCAAGGGCGGGAAATGAGAAGGAGAAGGGCTTCTCAGAAGGCGGCGGGACTCCTCAGAGCCTCGCGCGCCTGCAGAGAAGTTTCCCGTGTCTTCGGGGAGGGCTTATACAACCTCTCAGAAGGCCGGGGGACTTCCGAGCCTTCTGAGAAGGCTCGCCCCTTCCCATTTCCCCCTCAGGCGCGCCGCCTACGTGAAGCTGGGGCGTCTGTGCGCCGAGAGCCCTTGGCCGACCAGAGCCTCGGGCCCCTTCCCAGGGAGGCTTCCGAGACGGCTGAAGGCCCAGGACCCCAAGAAGGTCCAAGATCGCCTCAAGACGGCCCAGGATGGTCTTAAGACGGCCAAGGCGTCCTTTCAGACGCTCCCAAGACGCCCTCAAGAGGAACCCCCACGAGGCAAGCATCTTCCGATTCCCAAGGGAAAACGTGCATTTGTGGCACACTTGCTGTTTTGTCATTGTTATACCGTCTGCGACGGCCCAGGATGCCCCCAAGACCGCCCCTAGACGGCCTAAGAGGCCCCCCAGGAGGGCCCCACGACGGCCCAAGCGGGCTCCAAAACAGCTCAAGAGAGCCCCAAGACGGCCCCCCAAAGGCCCCTGAGGGCCCCAAAAGGTTCACAAGAAAGCCCCAGGAGGGCCACTGGAGGTCCTCAAGAGGGCCCCAGAGGGCTCCAAGAGGGCCCCAGGGCCGCCCAAGAGGGCCCCAAGACTGCACAAAAAAAACCGAAATCACCCCCCAGGAAGGCCCAGAAATGTAAGATGCATTGATTTTCGCACGGTTCTTTGCTAGATTTGTGTTTGTCGTGCCAATGCCTTTACACCGGCAGGGCTCCAAGACCCTAAGCAAGCGATCGCGCGCCCTCACGACTTGCACGCGCTTTCCGTTCCCGTGCCGAGCATATTCAAAATTTTCGGACGTCGTCGTCAGTTCTCGGCGGCTTTCCCGCCTCGGGGCGCGTTTCAGCGGCTGCTCCTAGAGTCGTCCTGGGGTGCCCGGGTCGTCCCGGATGGCCGCCAGAGGCCCGAGTTATGACCCGAAGGATGCGTCGACCCCCAATCGCCCATTCATCGCCAATGGGGGCTTGATAGCGCACCCCGCCCGGGAACGTGCGGGGAGAGGGGGTAGGTGGAGAGGTAGACCTATGATTCTATGATCGAAGGGGAAGGAGGTTGGAAGAACTAACTCCCTGAACCACATGCGTCCAGATGGCTGATGGGGATCCAGTGATGCCTGTCAGCAGGGGGCGTCTGAGCCAGGTCATGCCGAGCATCCACAGCACGGGTTCTCCTGAATCTGCCCACTCGGTATACAGTGGAGACCCATGCCAAGAAACACCCTGCTTGCCTCCATGGTGCCCTGGGTTTCTTGGGTTTCGATGGTTTTGCTGTGGAGCGCGACGTTCCCACACCAGAACTCAATGGACGTCCTGGGGTCTCAGGGTTGGGTTTCTTGTGGAAGGTTTCTTGTGGTCGGGCCTCCACTGTACCGTGTCGGGAGGCGGTCGCTGCGAAGACGCCGCGAGGCGGCCAGGTAGCTTCCGTGGTGTCTTCATATTGCGTCCGAGGCCATTTCGGCTCGCGCCGTTTTGGTGCAGCCAACTCTGTCGCGGGCCATCGTGAAGGGAGCCACTGGCGCGAGCTATTCACACATGCTGCCTCGGCCTCCCGTGGGCCCCCCCGCAGCCCGCCGCAGGCGCTCGCGAGTCCGCCCGCTGCATCACCAGGGGCTATGTTCGCCGAGCGCGTTCCACTACTCGCAAAGTGCCTACTCGCAAACGTCCGAAAAACACCAGCCTGCTTTTACGTAATCTATCGTAGATCCCTCGCGGGGGATCCAGGCCATTTGCGAGCAGTGACTTTGCGAGTAGTGGAACGCGCTCGTCTAAACGTGAGGGTGGGATTCGGATGAGGGGGGGTCGAAGTTTCGAGGTTCAAAGTTCCGATGTCCCCTCACCGGGTACCGATACCGCTACTCCCCAGAGCTCTCGGTACCCATACCGCCACCCTTTTTTTCGTTTTCCCCTTTTTGGGCCTCCTGGGAGGCCCTCGTCGCCACCGCTGGATTCGCCTCGAAATCCTGGTCAGAACGCCTCCGGGGAGAGGTCCGGGGAGTAGCGGTATCGGTACCTTTTGGCTTCCCCAGAGGGGGAATCGAAGTTTCGAGGTTCAAAGTTTTCGGACGTCGCCGTCGGTTCTCGGCGGCTCTCCAGCCTCGGGACGCGTTCGAAGTTCCAGCGGCTGCTCCTATAGGCGTCCTGGGGTGCCCGGGTCGTCCCGAATGGCCGCCGGAGGCCCGACTTATGACCCGAAGGATGCGTCGATCCCCAATCGCCCATTCATCGCCCGCGGGGGCTTGATAGCGCATCCCGCCCAGGAACGTGCGGGGAGAGAGGGTAATTAGGTGGCGAGGTAGATCTTTGATCGAAGGGGGAGGAGGTTTGGAAGAACCAACTCCCTCAACCACATGCGCCCAGATGGCCGAATGGGGATCCTGTGATGCCTGTCAGCAGGGGGTGTCTGCGCCGGGTCATGCCGAGCATCCGCGCCACGGGTTCTGCTAGATCGGTCCACTCGGTATGCCGTCCACGCGCCCAGGAAGGACGCGCTCTGAGCTGGGACTGGCCAGGGGGAGCGGGCGGCTGGCCGAGGGTGGGGGCAGCTGGGTGCGACGCTGCCGTGTCGGGAGGCGGTCGCTGCGAAGGCGCCGCGAGGCGGCCGCGTAGCCTCCGTGATGTCTTCCTGTAGCGTCCGGGGCCATCTCGGCTCGAGCCGTTCTGGTGCAGCCAACTCTGTCGCGGGCCATCCTGGCGCAGCCTGTGTGCTCCGACGCCCGCCGAGGGCCAGTGCTGAGTCGACGTCCCTGCTTGGTGCCCTCGCTGCGGTATCAGGAGTCGGCGGCGAGCGAGGGGGGAAGTGAGAAGGGGAAGGCCCTCTCGGAAGGCTGCGGGGCTTCTCAGAAGCCCGCCGGCCTTCTGAGAAGTGTTCTGCGTCTTCGGGGTTCCGAGCCTTCCGAGAAGGCCCACCCCTTATCGGAAACAAGAACATGTATCATTTTTCTTCCAATCCCAGGACTTTTGGAGTGTCGCGGACGACGTCGGGGTGGTGCCGCGTACACCTTTTTTTCCGTCCCCCAGGAAATAACCGAAAAAGGTATACACCAGGATCCCGTGCACACCAGGATCCGCTTTCCTGTGCAAACTCCAGTGCAGGGCCAGACAAATCGTCGGTGTATGGAGTTCGTTTCCTTATTTTCTCACTTGTTCCCTGGGCTCGCCGCCGAAGGAGGCCTCTCCGTGCGGCGCCTCTTGGCGCGGCGCCCGCCCTCCTACCCTCGCGGCCTTCGTTAGTGGCCGCTGCCGTGCGCGACGGGCCAGGGGGGAAGACCTACGGTAGGTTCGCGTCTTGTCGACTTGCGGCGACCCCGCCGCTGGCGCTCAGCGTTGAACGCCGCTGGCGACCCAGAGTCGGTCGATGTTGAACGATCGGGCGTTTCGGAAACGGCCATTCGTGCAAGATTGAACGATCCATGCGGTGTCAGGAACCAACGCCGGGGTCGACACGACACGAACCCACGGTAGCTCAGCTGTCACCATGTTCATGCGGCGGGCAAGGGCTAAGCAGATCGTGCAGCCGGCCACGGCCCAGTCCTACATGAAGCCCTCCGCTATATTCCGAGGCAGGTGGCTGGCGGCGAGAGGCTCGCCACCAACACTGGCGTTTATCAGTCAGCCTCCGAGACGGTCCATCACTACGGCCGCAGGCCGCAGAGCGGAAGCTCGCATTGCCTTACTGGAGGCGGCAGGCTTTGACCGCCAGGCAGTGGTGAAGATGGTGTCGTCACATCCTCAAGTGCTGAGCTTGGATGTGGAGAGCCGTATTGTCCTGCTAGAGGCGGCGGGCTTCGACCGCAGGGCCGTGCTGAAAATGGCGTCGTCGTTTCCTCAAGTGCTGGGCTTGGATGTGGAGAGCCGCATTGCACTGCTAGAGGCGGCGGGCTTCGCCCGCAGGGCCGTGCTGAAGATGGCGTCGTCGTTTCCTCCAGTGCTGGGCTTGGATGTGGAGAGCCGCATTGCACTGCTAGAGGCGGCGGGCTTCGACCGCAAGGCTGTGTTGAAGATGGCGTCGTCGTTTCCTCCAGTGCTGGGATACGATGTGGAGAGCCGCATTGTCCTGCTAGAGGCGGCGGGCTTCGACCGCAAGGCCGTTCTGAAGATGGCGGCGTCACATCCTGCATTGCTGGGCTTGGATGTGGAGAGTCGCATTGCCCTGCTAGAGGCGGCGGGCTTCGACCGCAAGGCCGTGCTGAAGATGGCGTCATCATTTCCTCAAGTGCTGGGTTACGATGTGGAGAGCCGCATTGCCCTGCTAGAGGCGGCGGGCTTCGCCCGCAGGGCCGTGCTGAAGATGGCGTCGTCGTGTCCTCGAGTGCTGGGCTACGATGTGGAGAGACGCATTGCCCTGCTAGAGGCGGCGGGCTTCGACCGCAAGGCCGTGTTGAAGATGGCGTCATCGTTTCCTCCAGTGCTGGGCTTGGATGTGAGTAAGAACATTCGGCCGAAACTGAACTTTTTGCAAGCGGCCCATGTAGATGTTACAGACATCACGTCGCACCCGAGGTACTTTTCATTTTCGCTGGAAGGCCGGATTAAGCCACGACTGTTGGCATTGCAAGGTCTTGGTCTGCTGCCACACACAAGTGGCGGCGTCTGTTCTTGGTTGGTGCTCTGCGACGCAACGTTTTTCAGACGGACTGGCCTTGCACGCGGAGTGAGGATGTAGTACAACATGATGCCTTCGCATGGATTTGGTGCCGCGGCTGGACGTGACCGTGCCTCGGCGCACGCGTGCTGCACGTGCTCGGATGCGCTGGGCAGCCCACAGGGATGCAGAGACAGACAAGCGCGCCGCGTGCCTCGCGCCCTGGGCCGCCGCGGTGCCCTTCTCCAGAGGGCGGCGGCGCGAGGGCGCGACACGCGGCCGCGCGGCGCGCACTGGCCGGGGCGCGGTCCGCGCGAGGCGGGGCCTGGGCAACCCAGGACGCGAGCGGGCATATCCGCCACCAGAAAAATAGACAGAGACACCCCCCACGGGATTGTTCCTGGGCCCCAGGGGAGGGTGGCGGAGTATAGATAACCACGGAGAGCCAGCGACTTTATACACGGAGTTTACATGCAACATTCGTCGGAGGGTGTCCCGAGCATCTTCTTTGGGTGGAGGGCAAAGGGTGAAATCTGAATTCCCGTTTCGATGGATTTTCGATGCTTAAATCTGCCGAAGGTGAATCCCAAGACGGATTTACCTTCGAATCCCAATATGGATTTCACCGTGAGCCGTCCTCGCTTATACAACTTCTCAGAAGGCCGGGGGACCTCCGAGCCTTCTGAGAAGGCCCGCTCCTTCTCATTTCCCCCTCAGGCGCGCCGCCTGTGGGACGCTGGGGTGTCTGTGCGCCGAGGCCCTTGGCCGACCAGAGCCTCGGGCCCCAGGCTCCCGAGACGGCTGAAGGCACCTACAAGACGGTCTCAGGGAGGCCCAGGACCTCAAGAAGGCCCAAGAGCGCTCAAAGACGGCCCAATATGCTTTCAAGACGGCATCAAGGCCCTCCAGACGCTCCCAGAGGCCCTCAAGAGGACCCCCAAGAGGCAAGCATCGTCCCATTCCCTAGGGAAAACTTGCATTTGTGGCACACTCGCTGTTTTGTCGTTGTCGTACCGTCTGCGACGGCCCAGGAGGCCCCCAAGACCGCTCCACGACGGCCCAAGAGGTCCCCAAGAGGGCCGCAAGACGGCCCAAGTGGGCTCCAAAACAGCCCAACAGAGCCCCAAGACGGCCCCCCAAAGGCCCCTGAGGGCCCCGATAGCTTCCCAAGAGAGCCCCAAGAGGGCCATTGGAGGTCCTCAAGAGGGCCCCAGAGGGCTCCAAGAGGGCCCCACGACGGCCCAAGCCCCCCAAGAGGGCCCAAAAGGGCCCACGGACCGCCCAAGAGGGCCCCAAGACTGCCCAACAGAGCCCCCAAAGGACCCCTAGGAAGGCCCAGAAATGCAAGACGCATGGGTTTTCGCACGGTTCTTTGCTAGATTTTTGTTTCTCGTGCTACAGTCTACGCAGGCAGAGCTCCACAACCCGAAGCAAGCGATCGCGCGCTCTCACGAAGTACGCGCGCTTTCCGTCCCCGTGCCGAGCGTGTGTCAAGTTTTCGGACGTCGTCAGCTCTCGGCGGCTTTCCAGCCTCGGGGCGCGTTCGAAGTTCCAGCGGCTGCTCCTAGAGGCGTCCTGGGGTGCCCGGGTGGTCCCGAGTGGCCGCCGGAGGCCCGAGTTATGACCCGAAGGATGCGTCGACCCCGAATCGCCCATTCATCGCCCCACGGAGGCTTGATAGCGCACCCCGCCCGGGAACGTGCGGGGAGAGAGGGTAGGTGGCGAGGTAGATCTATGATCGAAGGGGAAGGAGGTTGGAAGAACCAACTCCCTGAACCACATGCGTCCAGATGGCTGATGGGGATCCAGTGATGCCTGTCAGCAGGGGGCGTCTGAGCCAGATCATGTCGAGCATCCACAGCACGGATTCTCCTGAATCTGTCCACTCGGTATACAGTGGAGACCCATGCCACGAAACACCCTGCTTGCCTTCATGGTGTCATGGGTTTCTTGGGTTTCGATGGTTTTGCTGTGGAGCGCGACGTTCCCACGCCAGAACTGATTGGACGTCCTGGGGTCTCAGGGTTGGGTTTCTTGTGGAAGGTTTCTTGTGGTCGGGCCTCCACTGTACCGTGTCGGGAGGCGGTCGCTGCGAAGGCGCCGCGAGGCGGCTACGTAATTAGCTTCCGTGGTGTTTTTCTATAGCGTCCGAGGCCATTTCGGCTCACGCTGTTTCGGTGCAGCCGGTTCTGTCTCGGGCCATCCTGGCGCAGCCTGTGTGCTCCGACGCCGGCCGAGGGCCAGTGCTGAGTCGACTTCCTCCTTGGTGCCCTCGCTGCGGTATCAGGAATCGGCGGCGAGCGAGGGGGGGAAGTGAGAAGGAGAAGGCCCTCTCAGAAGGCGGCGGGGCTTCTCAGAAGGCCCACCCCTTCTCGGAAACAAGAACGTGTGCATTACCAGTGGCGGGCTGTTTTTCTTTCAATCCCGGGACTCTTTGAGGGTCGCGGCCGACGTCGGGGTGGTGCGGTGTATACTTTTGTTTCCCGTCTCCCGGGGAGACGCCGAAAAAGGTATACACCAGGATCCCGTGCACACCAGGATCCGCTGTCCTGTGCAACTTTCAGTGCAGGGCCACACACATGGTCGGTGTATGGAGTTCGTTTCCTCATTTTCTCACTTCTTCCCTGGGCTCGCCGCCGAAGGAGGCCTCTCCGTGCGGCGCCTCTTGGCGCGGCGCCTCCTTCGCGGCCTTCGGTAGTAACCGCTGCTGTGCGCGACCAGCCGGGGGGAAGACCTACGGTAGGTTCGTGTCGTGTCGACTGGCGGCGATCCCGCCGCTGGCGTTCAGCGATGAACGCCGCTGGCGACCCAGAATCGGTCGATGTTGATCGATCGGGCGTTTCGGAAACGGCCATTCGTGCAAGGTTGAACGGTCCACGCGGTGTCAGGACCCAACGCCGGGGTCGACACGACACGAACTCACGGTAGCTCAGCTGTCACCATGTTCATGCGGCGGGCAAGGGCTAAGCAGATCGTGCAGCCGGCCACGGCCCAGTCCTACATGAAGCATATCGTCAGACTCCGAGGCAGGTGGCTGGCGGCGAGAGGCTCACCACCAACACTGGCGTTTATCAGTCAGCCTCCGAGACGATGCATCACTACGGCCGGAGGCCGCAGAGCGGAAGCTCGCATTGCCTTACTGGAGGCGGCAGGTTTTGACCGCAAGGCCGTGCTGAAGATGGCGTCGTCGTTTCCTCCAGTGCTGGGCTACGATGTGGAGAGCCGCATTGCCCCGCTAGAGGCGGCGGGCTTTGACCGCAATGCCGTGCTGAAGATGGCGTCGTCACATCCTCAAGTGCTGGGTTACGATGTGCAGAGCCGCATTGCCCTGCTAGAGGCGGCGGGCTTCGACCGCAAGGCCGTGTTGAAGATGGCGTCGTCACATCCTCCAGTGCTGGGCTACGATGTGGCAAGCCGCATTGCCCTGCTAGAGGTGGCGGGCTTCGACCGCAAGGCCGTTTTGAAGATGGCGCCGTCACATCCTCCAGTGCTGGGCTACGATGTGGAGGGCCGCATTGCCCTGCTAGAGGCGGCGGGCTTCGACCGCAAGTCCGTGTTGAAGATGGCGTCGTCATATCCTCCAGTGCTGGGCTTGAATGTGAGTAAGAACATTCGGCCGAAACTAAGCTTCTTGCAAGCAGCCCATGTAGATGTCACGGACATCACGTCGCACCCGAGGTACTTTTCATATTCGCTGGAAGGCAGGATTAAGCCAAGACTGTTAGCATTGCAAGGGCTCGGCCTGCTGCCACAAACAAGTGGCGGCGTCTGTTCTTGGTTGAAGCTGTGCGACGCAACGTTTTTCAGACGGACTGGCCTTGCACGTGGAGTGGGGACGTAGTACAACATGATGCCTTCGCATGGGCTTCGTGACGCGGCTGGACGTGAGTGGGCCTCGGCGCACGCGTGCTGCGCGTGCTCGGATGCGCCAGGCAGCCCACAGGGATGCAGAGACAGACAAGCGCGCTGCGGGCCTCGCGCCCTGGGCCGCCGCGGTGCGCACTGGCCGGGGCGCGGTCAGCGCGAGGCGGGGCCTGGGCGACCCAGGACGCGAGCGGGCATATAAAAAGCGTATAACAGACACCCTCCACGGGATTGTCCCTGGGCCCCAGGGGAGGGTGGCGGTGTATCGAGCACCACACAGGGGGGTACATGCAATATTCGTCGGAGGGTGTCTGTATGTGTGTGTGTGTGTGTACGTGTGTATGTCTGTCTGCCTGCCTGCCTGTCTGTGTGTCTGTCTGTCTGTCTGTATGCATGCATGCATGCATGTATGCATGCATGCATGTATTCATGTATGCATGTATGTATATATGTCTGTCTGTCGGTCTGTCTGTCTGTCTGTCTGTCTGTATGCATGCATGCATGCATGCATGTGTATATGTGTATCGATCGTGCCGTAGCACAGACCGGCCCAGGGCCTGGCGGTAGCGGGCGGCAGCGGCGAGGGACAGCGCGAGCCCCGCCAACAGCAATGCCCCCGCCTTTTTTGGCCAGCCTCTGCACGAAGGGGCGCCGCCGCGAGCGGACGAGGGCACTTGAGTCAGGGGCCTCGGCGAGGGCACGCGGTGCAGAGGCGCGCCAGCATCCCGCAGCCGAATGCAGCCTGGGCTGGGAATCGCCGGCAAGCGAGGGCGGTAAATGGGAAGGAGAAGGGCTTCTCGGAAGGCGGCGGGACTCCTCAGAAGCCCTCGCGCGCCTGCTGAGAAGTTTTACGTTTCTTCGGGGAGGGCTTATATAACACCTCTCAGAAGGCCGGGGGATTTCCGAGCCTTCTGAGAAGGCCCACCCTTTCTCATTTCCCCCTCAGGCGCGCCGCCTATGGGAAGCTGGGGCGTCTGTGCGCCGAGAGCCCTTGGCCGACCAGAGCCTCGGGCCCCTCCCCTTTCCCCGGGAGGCTCCCGAGACGGCTGAAGGCACCTCCAGGACGGCCTCCGGGAGGCCCAGGACCGCAAGAGGGCCCAAGAGCGTTCAACGACGGCCCAAGATGGTCTCAAGACGGCCGAAGCGGCCCTCCGGGCGCTCCAAGAGGCCCTCAAGAGGACCCCCGAGATGCAAGCATGGTCCCGTTCCGTAGCCACTTTGGCTCAAGCCGCGAGAAGGGCGGGCAGATTCCCGATCCACAGCTTCTGGTCAGGTCTGCGCTCCCCCACCAGTTGTCCCGCACGCGATGACGTCCACCAACGAGCTCAAGGAGCTGAAGCAGAACATGTCGCCGATCGTCGCCTGCTGCTGCTACGAGCTGTCCTGCACTGCCAGCCAGGCCATGGACCCGCCGCTCATGGGCTCCTTCAAGGCCTGCTGCTGCGCGGGATCCATCGCGCTCGAGTGCTGCTGCATCAGCTGCGAGCCCGACCCCTGCTGGTCCGAGGAGCGCGGCTGCTGCGAGATCGCGGCCAAGATGCTCTGCTGCTACACGGAGACGCAGTTCCCCCCCGGCAAGGACATCGGATGCGGCTGTTGCGGCATTGCATTCTGCCGCTCGAGCGACGACGCGCCTCCGGCCGAGGAGTGAGGGGCCCTGACTCGGGGCGCTTGTTATGCGCACGAATCGTTTGATGCGACGGTGTGATCTCGTCCGGCGCTTCCCCAGCAAGAGCAAGAGAGTGTTCGCAAAGACGAGCTGCTTGCAGTTGCCGTGCGGGTGTGGGCCTCTTCTGATCTCCCTGTCCGCAGCAAAGATGCCTGTCTGCGGGAAACAAAAGATGCAAGCATTGTCCCATTCTTTAGAGTCAACTTGCATCTTTGGCACACTTGCTTGTTTCGTTGTCATACCATCATCTACGACGGCCCAGGAGGCCACCAAGACGGCCCCAAGGCGGCACCAGATAACCCCAAGAGGGCCTCAAGACGGCCCAAGTGGGCCCC